ATATAGCATGAAAATCTAGTCACAGTGTGAAGTTATTTCCTAACTTTAATTTCAACTTGTCAGTTTATCTGTTATGACACTTACATACATTATTTTTTAATGATCTTTCTTAAAAGGAAAGTCAGATAAGCAGATCATAGGTTAACAGCTCAGTGGGATTTCACAAACGGATCACATTTCTATAAGCCAGTGAGATCAAGAAACAGAATATTGTTTGTCCTCTAAAATTCCCCTTGAGCTCCTTTTCCGCAAAGCTCAGCATCCCTTTAACACATAAGGCAATGGATTCCTTTCCTGGTTTTTGTACTTTATGTAAATGCAATCAGGCAGTGGGAACTGACTGGAACCCTTTTGTGATTGGCAATTTTTTTCTTTCCATCTATTGCTTGTGAATTTATCTGTATTACTGCACGTTGCAGTGTACCATTCATTAGAGTTGGATGGATCCATTTCCATTGTGTGAATATCAATTGACTGCAGCATTCTACTATTAATAGGCAAGTGGATGGTCTGGCATGTAAAATCTATAATTTGTCTTTTAATGAAACATGCATAAATATCTGCTGTCTAGGGGTGCCTGGGTGGCTCAGATGGTTAAGCGTCTGCCTTCAGCTCGGGTCATGATCCCAGGGTCCTGGGATCGAGCCCCGCATTGGGCTCCCTGCTCAGCGGGGAGCCAGCTTCTACCTGTCCCTCTCCTCCCAACTCCTGCGCTCTCTCTCAAATAAATTAAAAAAAAAAAAAATCTGCTGTGTCTATATTTGGGAGTGAATTGTCATTAAATAGTTTGGATATTCAACTTTAACAGATATTACCAAACCCCAACCCACAATCTTTGTATCATTTTTCACACTCGCTAGCAGCATATGGGAGATCTGGCTTATCCACATAATTTTCAAAACTTGGTGGTTTATGTCATTTTCACAGTAGGCTTCTAGTTGGTATGTGATGTAACCAAGTCTTGGTTTTATTTCCTTTGTTGTTATTACTTCCTTTTACTACGGAGTTGGGCATTAACCTTGGGATAATCTCTTTTTCAAAGTGTCTAGTTTGTTATTATGATCCTTTCTTTCTGTTGTGATATCCTTTTCTTCAGGCTTTGTAGTACTGTCTATATGCTAAGAAGGAGACCCTGTCTTCTCTCATTATACCTCTACTTCTATCTCTTGAGTTTGTGATGAAGAGAAGTTCTTAATTTTAACGTACTCCAGTCATTTCACCCACTATGGGTAGGGGTTTTTACCACTTTTAGAAATATTCTCTTATACCAAGACCACAGAAATACAATCCTTTATGTTTTTCTAATAACATCATTAAGTATCTTAGTTTTGCTCAGAAATGTATTAAACAACGTCTTCTGTGGTTTGTGTAGTGACTGAGGTTTTCTATTGTTTAAGATTTTGTTCTTAAGTAATCTCTGTAATCAACATGGGGCTTAACCTTAAAACTTGGAGATCAAGAGTCACATGCACTACCAACTGAGCCATCCATCTGTTCTATGAATGATTATTCCTATATTCCCATAGCAGAATGCATTCTAAGGGCTTGGCAATAGCAATAATCTACTTGTCATAGACTGTAGCTAGAATCTTGGCAAACTGATAGCTGTTTTTACCATTATCTCTCTCTCTTTACATCACTGGGCGTAGGTTAAGTTCTACAGATTTTACTGCCAAACATGAGTATAGTCAACTCATTGGTCATTGTCTCTAAAGGAGTCCCACCAAGAGTGACAGCTTTTGGGTAAAGAGATTTCTGTCATGATCTCAGATGTAGACTTCTTTGGTATCTTTACAGAGTGACCAGGGATGTGTCCATTGTATTGCAATGTGGGTCTTGGGTGTCTTCTAGACCATTAAGATTAGCCATATGTACGCTGCTTGGAAGGAGCTAAAGTAAAAGTTTCCAAGTACATACACGAGCTTTTCATTTTCCTCCATATGTCACTGCCAAACAGGCAGCAAAACATCATGAAAACCTATTTTGGATACTATTGTGGATATCAGAAGGAAATTATACATTTGCTATATCCAGCACTGTTACTATTTGTTGAAATCATGTTGTGAGCTCATGATCTACACCAGTGGTCCCTTGATTTTCATCCAGTAGAGGCACAAGCAGTAGGTCAAGTGTATTCATAAGATCAACATTTCCTCCAGATCTTCACCTAAGTTCAGAGCCACCCAAAGTATTTTTGTCATTGTGATGCTTCTGTTTCATTTGATTCAATCTCCTGCAACTTGTCTACATTGCTGTTGTTAATATTCCCCATTGACGGTTCCTGAACACCTCTGCCCTAATTCATGTGTGTTTCCCAATCCTCAGTCTTTTTACTGTAATGTGCCATGATTCCACTATATCCAGGGCTTATTCTTCCTGGGTAAGAAATATAAAATCCTCTCATCTTTGCAGATACATGTAAATTGTATGCTTTTGCACAGTTGTTTCTTCACCCCTCTCCCTTAGAAAGCTCACTACAGAAATTTAAGGTAGATTCTCATGAGTATTGGGATTTCTTTACCTGTTCAAATGCAAGACCTATAGGGACATTGAGAAGTGAATGTTACAGCTCATGCGATTCTTCTGTATTGGGTCCTGTGGATCATAGTCTTTAACAGTGCATGATGTAAATTGAATAGATTTTCTCCCAGATCCTGTGTCAGATTAAGGAGTATTTGACAAGGTGGTGTACACATGGGAAAATTAGGGAGGAGCCAGGCCAGGGTCAAACTGAGCAGTGGATATTGTTGGGAGACGATTCTCTATGGGTTTGCTTCTCCATGTTTTATTTTTATTTTTATTTTATTTAATTATTTGTGAGAGACAGAGCACAAGCAGGGTGAGGGGCAGGAGAGGTACAGGCACATTCCATGCTGAGAGGGGAGCTGGATACAGGGCTCAATCCCATGATCCCGAGATAATGACGTGAGCTGAAATCAAGAGTCAGACGCTTAACCAACTGAGCCACCTAGGTGCTCCTGATCATGCCATTTTCGATACTCATTCTATTAATGTGCAGTCTCAAATTGATAGTATTCCGTATGTTGAAACAGCCTTGAATTCCAGGAAGAATTCTTACTTGATTGTTTTGTAAAATGGTAAAGTGTGCTTTTGATTCAGTTGGCTTTATTTTATTGTTGACTTTGCAAGAACAGGTAGTAGTTTGTACCCTTCTTTACTTGTAGCATCTCTCCTTTGGCTTTGATAACCTGGTAATGCTGCTGTCATAAGAGAGTGTTTTCAATATCTCTCTTCTCTTTACTCCTTGGAAATGCTTGAGGAGATTTCAAGTACTTTCTCATTATATATTTGTATGATTTATCCAGTGAATTCATCTGACACAGGGCTTCTCTTTGTTGGAGGTTTTTTTTTATTTAAAGATTTTATTTGTTTGACAGAGAGAGATACAGTGAGAGAGGGAGCACAAGCAGGGGGAGTGGGAGAGGGAGAAGCAGACTCCCCGCTGAGCAGGGAGCCTGATGCGGGATCATGACCCAAGCCCCCCCAAGCCGAAGGCAGATGCTTAACGACTGAGCCACCCAGGTGCCCCTGTTGGAAGTTTTTTTTTTTTTAATTACTTTTTCAATCTACTAAGTAGTTGTAGATCAGTGGAGATTTTTTAAAATATTTCTTCATGTTGGAGTCCAGGTAGGTTATATGTGTTTTGATATTTATACCTATTTATTGGTATCTACTTCTTGGCATATAATTATATATCATTTCCCTTTATAATTATTTTTATTTCTATGGTATCAGTGATACCATGTCTGCTTTCATGTCTTCCAATTTTAGTTGGTCTTCTCTTTTGTTCTTACTTGATTTAGTTATAGGTCTTGTTAATTTTGATTTTTTTCTTTTTTCTGAAAACCAAATCCTCCTATTGTTGATATTTTTCTATTTTTGCTAAATCCTATTTTCTTCATTTCTGTTTTATGTTTAGATTTCCTTTCTTTCTGGCGCCAGGATGGCTGTCGTTTAAGCCTTAGACTTCAGCTCAGGTCATGATCTCAGGGTCCTAGGATTGAGTCCCGTGTCAGGCTGCCTGTTCAGCCAAGAATCTGCTTGCCCCTCTCCTTTGGCTCGCCTCTTGCTCATGCTTTCTCTCAAATAAGTTTTTTAAAAAATTCCTTCCTTCTGCTGATTTTGGGCTCATAATGGTACTTTTCATGATTATTTGAGGTAGAGGAGAGTGATTGGTGTTACACCCTGACAATACTACAGAATTATCTGTTAAGCTGTGTGGTCAGTATGTTGTGTGCAAGTTTATGTGTCCCTGGAGGAATGAAGTCTGATGATTCCTTCTCAGCCATCTTGCTGATGTTCTCTGATTGATTTTATGGTTGTATGTTAGACGTCATCCGTATATTTATCTGAAAGTTGTAAGTGGAATGACGTTACTTTTCTGTTATTCAATATCTTTCAGCTGTACCTTCACATGGCACCCTGAGCTTCCTGCCAGAGCTGTGCAAAGAAGCTTCATTTCAAAATGTGTCAATGGGTCGATATAAACATAGTGTCCTTGAGAAGTTACACTTAATGATAGACTGGGATAATGATCATAAAGGATATATCCAAATTGAGACTACTGCCCATAATAAGAATCTCACTGCCCACAATGGTGAAAGATACAAAATATTTTGTAAAACCTTCCTTTTTAAGTCCACTAGTTCTGCAAAGCAGGGTGTTTCTGTAAGCAGAATCTCCAATCAAATATTCAAACGTACATATTTATGGATAGAGAATGTGGAAAATCTGGAAAGTTACCTAGTACATGCTGAAAATAATGATTTGAACAATTTTGAAAATAGGATTGGATTGACCTTTCAGTCAAATATTTCTAAACTTCAGAGATTTAAAAATGAAGAAACAACTGCTAAATGGGATCCGTTTGAGAGGTCCTTCACCGAGGGCTCAATCCTCCAAAATTACCAGAGCATTGTCAATGGAGACAGAATTGCTCAAGGCAGTGAATGTGAGAAAAAATTTCATCAAGGCTCAAATGTTAATAAACATCTGAGGACTCATTTTCAAGAGAACCATTCTGAACGTATTAAATGTGGGGAAGTCTTTTATCAAAGATCCAACCTTCTATATAACAGTATGCATATAAGAGAGAATCCTTATAAATTTAATGAATGTGAAAGAGATTTTAACCAGTCCTCCAGTGTTGATGATCATCAGAGAATTCATGGGGGAAAAAACCCATACAGATATAATGATAAGCCTGGGAACATGTTTAGTCAGTCATCAGTAATATGTATTCATAAGACAATCTGTAGTGGAGAGAAACCTTACAAAAGTAAAGAATGTGGCAAGGCCTTTAAGCAGCACTCAACCCTTACTCAACATCACAGAACTCATACTAGAGAGAAACCTTTTAAGTGTAAAGAATGTGGCAAGGCCTTCAACAAGCCCTCAACCCTTACTCAACATCACAGAATTCATACTGGAGAGAAACCTTACAAATGTAAAGAATGTGGCAAGGCCTTTATCCAGCAGTCACACCTAACTGTACATCACAGAATTCATACTGGAGAGAAACCTTATAAATGTGAAGAATGTGGCAAGGCCTTTAGCTTTCAGTCAAGCTTTATTAAACATCACAGAATCCATACTCGAGAAAAACATTACCAATGTAAAGAATGTGGCAAGGCCTTTGAGCAGGAACCAGACCTTATTCAACATCACAGAATTCATACTAGAGAGAAACCTTACAAATGTAAAGAATGTGGCAAGGCCTTTAGGAAGCAATCACAACTTACTCAACATCACAGAATCCATACTGGAGAGAAACCTTACAAATGTAAAGAATGTGGCAAGGACTTTAGCTTTCAATCAAGCTTTATTCAACATCACAGAATTCATACTGGAGAAAAACCTTATAAATGTAAAGAATGTGGCAAGGCCTTCAACAAGCCCTCAACCCTTACTCAACATCACAGAATTCATACTGGAGAGAAACCTTACAAATGTAAAGAATGTGGCAAGGCCTTCATCCAGCAGTCACACCTAACTGTACATCACAGAATCCATACTGGAGAGAAACCTTATAAATGTAAAGAATGTGGCAAGGCCTTTAGCTTTCAGTCAAACTTTATTCAACATCACAGAATCCATACTCAAGAGAAACATTACCAATGTAAAGAATGTGGCAAGGCCTTTAAGCAGGAAGCAAACCTTATTCAACATCACAGAATTCACACTAGAGAGAAACCTTATAAATGTAAAGAATGTGGCAAGGCCTTTAGAAAGCAATCACAACTTACTCAACATCACAGAATCCATACTGGAGAGAAACCTTATAAATGTAAAGAATGTGGCAAGGCCTTTATCCATCGTTCAAGCTTTACTCAACATCATAGAATTCATACTGGAGAGAAACCTTACAAATGTAAAGAATGTGGCAAAGCCTTTAACCAGCAATCACACCTTAATACACATCACAAAATTCATACTGGAGAGAAATCTTACAAATGTAACGAATGTGGCAAGGCCTTTAGCTTTAAATCAGGCTTCACTCAACATCACAGAATTCATACTGGTGAGAAACCTTACCAATGTAAAGAATGTGGCAAGGCCTTTATCCAGCTCTCACACCTTAATCGACATCACAGTATTCATCATGTAGAGAAACCTTATAAATGTCAAGAATGTGGCAAGGCCTTTAACCACCACTCAGGCCTTACTCAACATCACAGAATTCATACTGGAGAGACACCTTACAAATGTAAAGAATGTGGCAGGGCCTTTAAGCAGCAGTCAAACCTTATTAAGCATCACAGAATTCATACTGCAGAGAAACCCTACAAATGTAAAGAATGTGGCAAAGCCTTTAAGCACCATGTACACCTTAGGCAACATCACAGCATCCATACTGGAGAGAAACCTTACAAATGTAAAGAATGTAGCAGGGCCTTTATCCATCAGTCAGGCCTTACTCGACATCATAGAATTCATACTGGAGAGAAACCTTACAAATGTAAAGAATGTGGCAAAGCCTTTAACTGGCATTCAGCCCTTACTCTACATTACAGAATTCATACTGGAGAGAAACCTTTCAAATGTAAATATTGTGGCAAGAGGTTTATCCAGCAATCAAGCTTTACTCAACATCACAGAATTCATACTGGAGAGAAACCTTACAAATGTAAAGAATGTGGCAAGGCCTTTATCCAGCAGTCACACCTGACTTTACATCACAGAATTCATACTAGAGGAAGTCTTACAAATCTGAAGACTGTGAGAGAATTTTAAGGACTGCTGAACCCTAACTCCACATCAGAGAATTCCTATTGGAGAGTAACTATACACGTGTATAAAGAACGTGGCAAGACCTTTAAGCAATGCTCAACCCTCATTCCTTACCAGAGAATTTATAGTGGAGGTGATTTTACAAATACAAAAATTTGTCAAGCCCTTTCATAGTGCTCAAGCCACCTCCAGCATTACAGAATTCATACTAGAGAGAAACCTTAGAAGTGTAAAGAATGTGGTAGAGCTTTTGGATTGCTCAACCTTTTTTTTTTTTTTTAAGATTTTATTTATTTATTTGACGGATAGAGTCACAGCAAGAGAGGGAACACAAGCAGGGGGAGTGGGAGAGGGAGAGGCAGGCTTCCCACCGAGCAGGGAGCCCAATGTGGGGTTCGATCCCAGAACCCTGGGCTCATGAGCCGAGCTAAAGGCAGATGCTTAATGACTGAGCCACCCAGGCACCCCTGGATCGCTCAACTTTTACTCAGCATCACAGAGTTCATACTGAGGAGAAATACTACATACTACAAATGGAAAGAAGGTGGCAAACCTCTAGCTGGAAGTCATAACTTGCTCAACATCATCCTTCCCATACAGGAGCAAAACTGTGACATGTAAAGAAAGCAGCCAAGCCTTTAAGTGGAATTCAATCCTTACTGGGTATCCCAAAATGCAGTCTCGGTTCAAACTGTACAAACATAATGAATGAGGAAAGACTTCCTCTTAACAATTTAGAAAACATCAGAGTTCAGAGAAGAAAAGTAACTTGAAGATAAAAATATGTAGAAACATTTTAAACATCAAATGTCAGTAAATGTCATAGAATTCACAGTACAAAGCAGTACATCTGTCACTCTTCAGAGATTACATCAAAAAAGGAATAATACAAAGTTAGATAATGTATATGCTGTTGTGCTTCAAAATATAGAAGAGAGGGGGGCGCCTGGGTGGCTCAGTTGGTTAAGCGACTGCCTTCGGCTCAGGTCATGATCCTGGAGTCCCGGGATCGAGTCCCGCATCGGGCTCCCTGAGTCTGCTTCTCCCTCTGACCCTCTTCCCTCTCATGCTCTCTATCTCATTCTCTCTCTCAAATAAATAAATAAAATCTTTAAAAAAAAAAAATATAGAAGAGAGGGATTTTTTTAAACATTTGGTCAGTATATTTAAGATTTTATTTATTTGACAGCACAAGCAGGGGGATCGGCAGGCAGAGGGAGAGGGAGAAGTAGGCTCCCTGCTGAACAAGGAGCCCAATGTGGGGCTCGAACCCTGGACCCCAGGATCATGAAATGAAGAAATCCTCATAGATACCAGAGAATAGCTAACTCTTGCATAAAATGAGATACATCCACATTTTTAGAGAATTACCAGAGTCCTGAAAGTGTTTTAGTAGCAAAATTAAGCTGGTAAGAAGTTAAACTAGACTGCTATATAAGAAGTCTTCTTTAAGCCTCATGGTAATCACAAAATGAAAAAATGTAGTAGACACACAAAACAGAAAAGAGAAAATAACCTAAGTATACCCTTATAGAAAATCATCCAATCACAAAGATAGCAAATGAATAAGAAAGGGACAAATAATTCTAAACAGCTAGAAAACAAAAGAATGACAACCGTAACTCCACACTTGTACTGATACTTGCTTTAAATATAAAGGGACTAAATTCTCCAATCCAAAGACAGATCGCCTGAAGCGAAAGAAATACAAGACCCAACTATAGTCTTCAAGAGACTGCAAGTTTTAAGAACACACAGACTGAAAGTGCAGGTGTGGAAAAAGATATTCTATGCAAATGGAATCGAAAAGAAAGCAGGATAGCTATGTTTCCATCAGTCGAAATAAACTTTAAGCCAGAGAGTATAGTAATACACGGCAAAGGTCATTATATAAAGGGCTCACTTTGTGCAGTGTTTTTAATTACGTGGTGTTTGGCATAATGTCAAAAAGGATTTCCCCCATCTTAGATTTGGAAGGACAGGAATAGTATGATTATGTAACTCGTGTAGTACTTACCACTTTCAAAACCAACACCTTTTTTATGACCTATTGCTGTGTTTTGAGGGTTGGGGGGAAAACACTGGACAATTTGAGAAAGACCTATTGCTTTCAGATTTTGATGTGTGTGAAAAAAGTATGGGTGCAGGGAAAATCTTGGCAATTTAACAAGTAGCCAGTAGTTTATCAAAACTAACTTGTACAGGCTAATAAATCTTTTCCACAGTTTTCAGTTGTCTAAGCTCTTGCTATTATACATTGCATAGTTTTTTCACACATGTTATTTAATTTACATTGTTATCTGCTATTTAAAGTCCCTAAATAAATTACTTGTTCTTTCAGGCAGGTTACCATAATGCCCTTCAGTAAGATTTCTGATACTATTTCTGGGCAGTTTTTCTTTATACACAGTTGCAAATGATAGGCTTTGTATGGGTCACCTTTGTCATAATTGTGATAGTGGATTTAGTTGAAGCTGGGTTTTTTCTGAAATGTACATCTTCCCATAAGAAACCCTTACATTCCAGTTGATTCAAAGTTTTTAGCATAGCTTACATGTGACTAACGGTTGTATACATTATATATGCATTTATTAAACATAAAGCATTCACTCCCTTAATGTTGGAGAAAGGTAGCTAATATACTTATGATTTGTGTTAAATTAAAGCTGTAGGTTTGTATATTCATATAGAGTAGTTGCTTTCTGCTCTCTGAGCAAAACACAATTGGATTGTTGTGTTGATTTTTTCAAAACTTTGGATGCATAGGAGTCACTTATTAAAGATTTTATTTTACTTTTTTTAAAGATGTTATTTGACAGAGACACAGCGGAGAGGGAACACCAGCAGGGGGAGTGGGAGAGGGAGAAGCAGGCTTCCCGCTGAGCAGGGAGCCCGATGTGGGACTCGATCCCAGGACCCTGGGATCATGAGCAGAGCCCAAGGCAGATGCTTAATGACTGAGCCACCCAGGCGCCCCAGGAATCACTTACTTTTAGAAACTAATTTTGTTTGATCTATAGTATTTTTTACATTTACATTTTTCTATTAAATAATGTGTGCTTTTCCTTAAAAAAATAAAAAGTAATAAAGCCGTCAATTCAACAAACGGATATAACTTTTATAATTGTTTGTGCACCCGACATAAAAGCACGTAACACAAAACAACTATTAGCAGACAAGAACAGAGGAAGAGACAGCAGTACATTAGAAGTGGACTTCAATACTGTGCCTTCAGTAACGGGTAGGTTATCCAGACAAAATTTATAAGGGGACATCAGACTTCCAACACTGCATCCAACAACATCTGAATACACATTCTTCTCACATGCACATGGAGCATTCTCCAGTATAGATTATATGTTAGACCACAAAACAAATCTTAATAAATTTATGAAAAATGATACCAAGCACCTTTTCCAACCACTATGGCATGAAACGAAGTACAAAACTAGAAAATACACAAATACGTGAAAAATAAACGAGAAATTATTCATAATAACCAAAATAATGGAAATACCTTGTCCATTGTCAGAAGAATAGATAATGTGGTACGTATATACAATGTATACTGGAAACAATACATTTGAGAATAGCTCAAAAATTCTTATCACATGAAAAATTGTAATGAGGTGCTATGTTTTGCAATATATACATCAAATCATAATGCATCTTAATATAATGTTACATGTTAATTATATCAATGAGACTGAGGAAAAGTGAAATAAGCAGATTAGTGGTTTCCTAGGCACAGGGATAAGACAATGGGTGTGGTGACAGTTAAAGAATATCACGTCTCTTTAAGAGATGATTCAGTGTAAAATTGACTGGTTTGCTTGCACCTATGTGTGAATCAGAAACCTAACATTTGCACATTTTAAAAAAATTTTGACAGAGTACAAGCAGGGGGAGGGGCTGAAGAGGGAGAGGGGGAAGCACCCTCCTTGCTGAGCAGGCAGCCCAACATTGGGCTCCATCCCAGGACCCTGAAATTGACCTGAGCCAAAGGCAGGCACTTAACCAACTGAGCAACCCAAGTGCCCCATCCGGGCCATTTGTACATTTTAAGTGGGTGAATTAATACACTATGGAAATCCTATGCAAAAGCTGTTACAAAGAACCCCAAATAAGAAATGCCTGCATAAGAAGACTAATGTAACATATCAAGACTATATAAAATTCAGCTCTTAAACACACGTGTAAGATTTCAAATGGGATTTATGATTTAACTTCTGTGTTTTAAGCACACAGGAAGGAAGTTTTGTCAAATTACACATAATTATTAGTATGAGTTATGTTCAACACTTTGATGTTGGATGAAGAAAATGTACACATGCTAATCTATGGGTTTCTCCAAGGAAAAAGTGAATAGAATGGATATCTATGTATCTCTTTTTGTATTTTCACTATCTACATTTCTATAGATCTATAGATACAGAAATAGATAATAGGCATATCATAAATAGAAATAGATCTCTATTTCTCTATCTCTTTAATGAATTGACTAACCTGATGGTTGAGAGCTGGCAAGTTGTAATCTGCAAAGATGTCCAGCAGGCTGGAGACCCAGGGAGGCGCTGATGTTGAAGCTGGAGAATTTGATGAGTCTGGAGACAGGGAAAAAGCACCTTTGGAACATACAGCTAATTACTATGTTCTCCAGAATAGACTGTCTAGTAAGTGGTATGGGCTTATTGGCATATAACTAATACAAACTAACTGAAATAGAAGAAAGTGCAAATAATTTCTAAAAAGTTAAACATTGTCTTACAATATTTTGACTAAATGTAAGAATATAAAGCATTTTCAAGCATGCACTAGTTCATACCTTCCACAAAAGACAAAATCAGAATTATGGTAGGATGTATACATTTAACAATATAATCAAGAGCATATCCATTTTTCATAGCATAAGTAAAAATTTCGTGTTAGCCGAGGAGAAAATATTTTAATTATTAAATAGGATTAAAA